CCAGATGCAAATCCAATTGAAAATGTTTGGGCGCTTATAAAGTTTAAGCTCCGAGGAAAGAAAATATGGACCGTCAAGCAGTTAATTCGACAGATTCGATTTATATGGAGATCTTTGTCTGAAGATTATGCTGTAAAATTAGTAGAAAGTATGCCTCGGAGATGCCAGTCAATTATTGATAATGGAGGCGACTGGACAACTTATTAATAATAAAGCATCGCAGTCTATATCATGCATAATGTGTACAAATTTTTTCAATTTATGTATTATCCTAAGTTTTTGAGTTTTGCCGTACACGCTCTTATCAAACATACTGTATATAGCATGTTTTGATACAATTACAAGATATCACATATAATATTTATCTGTGTTCTTATGCGATCTGGATACGCCAAGTGTCTATGTTCTGATTGTCGATTGAACTTTTTTTCGAAACTTATCATTGAAAAAACTGTATGTACAGGATGTCCCATTTTAAAAACCCCAGGCAAAAATCTCGAAAAATATGGAAGATACGGAAAAATATTTTAAACAAAAGTTATATGATTTGATAGAGGATATAAGAAGGTGCCATTGGTTTTACTTTAGGTTGCGCCGCCAAGGTCAGGTCGAGAGCAACTTTCCTTTTTTAAATAGAAACATGTATTTTTTATCACGGAATTTTATTTTACGTAAAGAAACAAATAACTTTTGTTTGAAGAAAATTTTTATATCTCTATTTTTTAAGATATTTACGGAAATATACAAAATTATTGGTTTCAATAATTTTTTATTAGAATTCTATCAACTTTACTAAAAAATAGCAAATAAATAAAAATTATCTATTTTCTTCTCATAGAGCTCTGAAAATTTTTTCAGAATTTTTTAATTAAGGGGGGAGTCTATAAGGTCGGAAAAAGTCGATTTTTTTTTTTATAAATCGATAGTACAACTGTTTGAGAATATGTCTTTAAAATTTTCGAGCGAATTTCGAAATCCTTCAGTAGATTCAGCGCTTATAACGGGAGCGCGGCGCGTTATTATACGGCCGCGCGATGCGGAGCGCGCTTAGTCTCTCGGTTACTTTTTTTCATTGGTTCATTATATATTCGTTAAACGAATATAAATAAGTGTTTATATATACCTGGTTTGAAAATTTGTTTGTATATATAAAAAACACAAGCTTGGTGGTAAAGGAAAGCTGACAGACGTTCTAATCAAAGAGCTAATTACATATTACGGGCTTGCAATAAGGAGAAATCTAAATTCTGTAATCGACATGAAAAAAGTGATATGGACAACGTTAGAATATTTATGCTCAACGAATGAAAATCCGCGGAACGATAAATGTCCGACAATTGGTGCCAATATCGAAAGTATGAAGCGGTGGGTACAGTAGAAAACTATGATCATCCCCCTCCACTCCACTTAAATATCGAGAAGCATTTGATTTCTATTGATATCGATTTATTAAATGAAGATTTGTTAACATGATGTCTGGGTGGATATACCCGAAACGCTAACGAAAATTTCAACTCGATCATCTAGAGACTGGCGCGAAAACACCTCAATTGCGGTACAAAAATAATTGAAATAGCCGCTTTTATTGCCGTCGGCATTTTCAACGAGGGATATTCTGCCATTTTTAAATTATGAATGAATTAGAAATTAATATTGGGCCGGAATGCAAGCAATATGCAAATATGTATAACACACAGGAGCGTCGACGAACAAATAGCACGATAGAGTCCTGAGCAGTTCATGGGATGACTCAAATTGCTCAAAACGAATTTAATGAAAAAACTGAAGGACTACTGTATGGCCTGGAATAGCAGATTAGCCTCTGAGTACTGT